CGAAAGAGCAGTGCCTTCCTTGGGGCTGGACTCCCCTAGCAAGAACCCATAGCGATGTTTTCAAGAGGCTTGAGAAAGCCAGGAGAGTTCTATACACAGCTGTGTGGGCCAGCTACCACTGCAACAGCTGCATTAAGTGTCAAAGGTGAATGGTGCTGCACTTGATTGGCAAGGGTACAAGCTTATCCCCGCCAAGGTGATGCCTGCGCCCCAGTGGTGGATGTCCGTGTTGTTCAAGCCTGGTAGTGAGCAGGCGCCAGAGCGAGGGGCTCAGAGCTCTGGCCCTAGACCGGATTGTCCACTTGCCCTGTAGCTCCACCATGGAGTAACCCTGTGGCACGGGTGCATTCCAGATTTGGAAACGGGATGAGTTCCTGTGGCACCAGGAAAAGTAACGTGTATGCCCCTCCAAGTGAGGCATAAAGCACACTCAAGAACCACAGCTCCTCTCTGTTTCTGAATCCCTGTTGAGCTGCCTGGAGGGGTCCAGCCCAAGAGGGCCAGCAGGTGCCTCACCAGACCCCCCAGCAGCAAGGCGTCTCTCCCAGGGCAGACTGCACAGCTTGCAGGGATTTAGAAAACAGAATAATAAAAAGTTGCTCTTATCACAGCTGAGGGGTTGCCAAGCATTTCAAATGTTAAGAACGGCTCAGTGTTTAAGTTCCAAAAAGAGCAGCGAGCTTTCTTCAGCAAAGCATGGAGGTAGTGAAATAACTTTGGTGTTTCTTACATAACACAGCCCAAAGCATTTTCTAGAAGATTCCTCACTTTCCACCCAAATAGTCTGGGAAGATGGCTCTTTTACAAACAACTCCAGCTTTAGGTTTTCCTGCCAGGGCTTCCCAAACCATGATATCCACAGAAAGTATGTTCCACTTTTAATTTCCTTAACAGCTGCCTTGGCATTTTAACATCTCATCTTAAAAAGAAAAAACTGGCAATAGAGCAAGCGACGTACAAAAGTTAGTTCAGGTCTTTAAGCTTCACCAGCTGGCCCTGAGAGGTGCCAGCAGTGATTGCCCACCCTACCCCACAATGTCAGCCACCCTGCTGTGCTGCTGTACCATCCATTCAGCCCTTGTCAGGATGAGGGTCCTCGTAAGAGGGAGGGAGCAGGTCACGTAAGAGGAAGAGGCAGCAACAGGAGCAGAGGCTGCGGAGGAACATGGGGCGGCTAAGAAGCTAGAAGAGTCAAGGCAACAGATCCCCAACCCCCTACCCCGGAGCCTCTGACCACCACACAGCCCCGTGGACCTCTTTTAGATGCCTGACCTCCAGAACCACAAGAGAGGGAATCTGTGACCTCTTAAGTCACTAGCTTTGCAGTTAATTCATTAGAGCAAGCTCACATATAGGTGGCATGTCTGGCTGTCTGTGCCTCTGGGCTTTGGCCCCCTGCATCAGATTAGCCTTCAGGGGCCTCTTAGGGTTGCATCTCCAGAGTGGTGCATCTGAGGAGGCCAGACACTGGCTATGAACAGCTGCTACCCTGTGACCACAGCCCCAGGGTGCCCACTGGCTCAGCCGCCTGCGTGTGCCTTTTCTTTGAAAATATTATTTAAAAAACAGTCCTTGTGCTGATCACATTTTGCACTCAACTTAGGAATGAGTTAGTTCTATGCCCAACAAAAAAGAGGGCAGCTCCACACTCTGTGCTACTGTGTGTTGTCATTTTGTCCTTTCTACTCATCTGTGTCCTGGGGCCGACCCTGTCTCCTGCCACGTAGAGGAAAGTCACTGGTCCTTCATTGGTGCCCCCTACACCAGAGAAGCATGGGGCCTGTCACCTCTGTTCTTGTGGGGCTGCTCTCAGGAGTCAGGTCCTGGGGTTCTTCCCCAACCCAACAGGGGGCCCTCCCTTCTGCGCCCCTCAGGGTCACTCCTCCTCTGGGCTGGGTGCTGGCTTTACCACTGGCCCTCACAAGGGAAGGACTCACCCCTGTGTGGGGAATGGGGCAACTCTAGGCACAGAAGAGATTTTCTCCATCTCATAATCTTGCAAATGAGGAAGTGAGCTAGTGTCTACAAGATTCAAGCTGTAAGGAGAGAAAGCCTGTGCAGTGGGCTGAACAGTGGCCCCTGCCAAGGTTAAGTCCATTCAGAAGCTCCGACTCTGACCTTACTGGGAACAAGAGCCTTTGCAAACGCCACTGATTTAAGGACCTCAGGATGAACGCCTCCTGGATTATCTGGGTGGGCCCTAAATCCTGTGGCAAGTGTCCTTATAAGAGGCAGAAGAAAAGAGAGATGGGAGCGGGAAGGTGGAGGGAAACTGGAGTGATGTGGCCCTGAACCAGGAAATGCCATGAGAGGCAGGAAGAGGCAGGATGGGCTCTCCCCTAGTGCCTTTGGAGGCCACACCTGGATTTGGGACTTGGGGCCTCAGACCAAGGGAGCAAAGGTCTGCTGTGTGGAGTCCCCAGTGCATGGTCCCTTATATCACCAGGGACACACACCACAGTGTGCTGGGGGCCCACCAGCCAGTAGGCCTGGCAGGGTGGCAGCATCTGACTCTCCTGGCTCCTTTCCATTGGAGCAGAGGAGACACTGACTCAGGGACAGCAGGAGCTTGGAAGCCACAGTTAGCCCCCAGGCTTGGGCATAACAGGACTTCAGGGGGTTTGCATCAGACAATCAAAGCAGGACAGGCGGGAATGTCCATCCCCATCCCCTGGCACGCATGGGTGGCCCATTGTCAAGGATCTGCTGCAGGCAGGGTCACCCCTGCCTCGCGCTGCCTGCACAAACCTCTACCCCATGGAACTGAAGACAAGATGTGCCCACTCTGTTTCTGAAGCAGATGTGGCCCGTGCGCTGCCAGACCTGAGACCCCACCCAGGGACACTGGTGTGGGCTCTCCAGCAGAGTGACAGCATGGAGGACAGAGGAGCCCACAGCTTCACACAGGGACACTCCTCCAGAAAACAACAAATAAGGTGTGACAGTGTCTAACAGCCCTGGAGGACACTGGCACAGAAATAGGCCAGACTCCAGAGCTGCTAGTTTGGCCCACATTCCTTTATACACAAAGCAAGAAGTGATCTGAGAAGGCAGAAATGATGTCTCTGCTCGCCAGGGGTTGCTAGCACAGGGGCCCTGTGCGGCACAGGCTCCAGGCTGGGGCTGGGCCACCGGCGAGGGCAGGGGCGATGTAGGCTCAGCATCCAAGGGTGCAGCCAGGCAGGCCTCTGCAGCCTACCCTCCCTTTGCCTGCTGGAGCAATCCAGAGGGGAATGTCCCACCAGAACTATGGCTTCTGAAAATGAATATTCCCTTCTCTGTGCTTTGGAATAAGGGTTAACATTTTAGAAACTGAAAGTGTATGTCAAGGGCAGTTCCATACACAGGTCGCCACAATGGCTTCCATGCTGCTTAACGAGTCCTAAAGGGCATTGTCTTCCAAGTGGAGTTCATGGTCTCACTTGCAAATTAGTAATTCCTACGACCTAGGAACCGACCACTCTCCCTCCTCAACTGTCCCTTAGAAGTTAATTCTGGCCACATAAGGGGCTGGGGGTGAAGACTGGGGTCATTCTCAGGGAGTGTCCCATCTGCTGAGCAGGCTGACATTGAGCAAATCGGCTGGCTCTCCAGGAAAGTCTGTTTTTCTAGCTGGCAGCTCTCAAAGGGCCCCTGGGAGACACTCAACAGAGCAAGGGCATGGAATGTAAATGCGTTTTCCGCTGTGGATTTTGAAGCTGTATTTAACAATGAAGTTCTGATCGCAGGGACTTATCCAGGGAGTAGTTCTAGAAAAAGAGAAGTAGGGAATCGCAGCATGGCATTCTATCTTTCTCAAATATTCATGCCACCGCTGTACACAACACCCAAGCCTCAAAGAGGACCAGCCAAGATGACAAAGCCTAGTTGTTTTGGACAAATTTTAAAATGACCCTGAGGTCTACATCTGTGGCAAACACCTGCAGCTTATGAAGGGAGTTTGCAAAGTCAAGAACGCAGTGCACAGACCTCTTCTTTATCCTAAGAGCACCCAGATCCTACTAGGGTATGCTTCACCTGCTCTTGATTACCCAGGGTGGGCAGGTGGGCCCTTCCAATTCCAGGGCCCTTCTGGCCCAGCACTTGGGCACGCACTGCCAGTGTGTTACACAGGAGACAGTATGGTGGCGGCAGCGGCCCTGGGGCCTTCAGGGGTCGGGAAGGCCTTGGGGGAGCTCAAGACATAGCACTGCTCTGCTCACAGAGGTGGTTGAAGGCTTCTAGTCACCACCCCGACAGCTTTTCCAGCGAGGCTGCTTTCACAACGAAGCTGCTTTTGAATTTGCTTTCGAATCAATACCAGGCTTTCACAACCCTGACATCACCCGACCTCGCAGTGAAATGCTACCTTTCTAGGGCACAGAGCCTCACTGCAGAAGACACAACACACACAGAAATCACCGTGTGTCGGGAGGGGACGGTCACCTCATACCTTTGGCAGTAATGTGGGATGAGTGTGATAAGCTGGCCCAGTCTCCTGTGGTGGTGACTGAGTCCCTGGGATTGGGAGAAAGACCAAACCCCAGCACTGCTCCAGATGGTGCAGGTGGGCTGGCTGAGAACTGTGGTCCACGGGCTTCTCTGCATAGACCCTGCCACTACTTATATCCTGGATAATCTATTCTTTCCCCAGAGGAAATGTGCATGGTGGCATAAAATCTGATGGCAACAGGCATTGCAACTGTGCACGTAAAGTCCTCAGAGGGCTCTGTTTGTGGAGCATTTTAAGAGGATGAGTTTATGGCATTCTTCAGTAGCCTAAAGGCCCCAAACACATCTGAATTACAGGTTTTACTAGATTGAAAAATCAAACCAACAAATTCTAGTCTCACAGATGCATCAGGAAGAACAAGGCACAAGATTCTGGATTCCTGTTTCTCATGGCAGATGGGCAGACACTAGGGTCCTGGCAACACTCGGTGCAAGACGAAAGGAAAGTGGCAAAGGAGTCAGAGAGCCAAAGGCCATCCACTTTCCTTTTGTCAGCAGAGGCTCCTTACCTTTTCTGATCTTGTCGTGAAAGTTAATGGCATCCACAGAAGCAGTGACAATGTTGGTCTTGCAATGACGTGCGGCCACAATCCCAGCTACCTCATCCATGAGCTTCATGGTGACACCTGCACAGAGAAAAGGCACATGGCAGATCAGACAAGGGGGGTGGCTATTTTTCCACCCTGGAAACCAGTCATAAGACAGAGTCCTCCCACTACCCCCCAGTGGGGGGCTGCCGCCAGGGGTGGCTACGGGGGTGCATGATCAGGGCACTGCTGAAGCTCATGCTGTAAACCTGGCTTCCTCAGGAGCTTCTGAAAACTACCACAGCTGATGGTCTAGGCTGCTAATAGAGTGACAATCCTTTTTCTATCCTTTACAGATACCTTATTCCCCCAGGAAGGTGTTGTTACAAAATCCACCGGGATAGCTGGATCCAAAGTCAGAGAGCCAGTGTCAGTGAGAATGTGGAGATATCAGAGCTCTCATGCATCGCTGGTGGAGATAGAAATGGTGCAGCCGCTTTGCAAACGTCAGGAATTTCTCAAAAGGCTAAACAGAGTTACCATATGACCTGGCAAATCCTCTCCTAGGTACGTACCCATGGCAACTAAAAATTCATGTTCACACAAAAACTTGTACACGGATTTCATGACAGCATTATTCACAACAGCCAAAAAGCAGACACAACTCACATGTGCGTCAACTGATGAACGGACAAAGAAAATGTGGCCCATCCACATCGGGGAGTATTATCCAGCCATGAAAATGAAAAAAGCACTGACACAGGCTACAACACAGCGGAGCCCAGAAACACAATGCTCAGTGGAAGAAGCCAGGTCCAAAACCAGAAACTGTAGGATCTTCCTTATAAGAAAAGTCCAGAACAGGTACATACATCTAAAGAGGTAGAAAGCAGATTAATGGTTGACAGGGCTAGGGGTCAGGGAGAAATGGAGAATGAGTGCTAGTGGATATGGAGCTTCTCTTTGGGAGATGAAAATGTTGTAACATTGATTGTGGTGATGGTTGCATAACTGGGAATACACTAAAAATCAATGACTTGTAATGGATGAGTTGTATGGCATGTGAATCATCACAATAATAAAGGCGTTATATAAAACAAACAAGAAAAGCAGGCTCACAGCAGGCCGAGGTTTTTTTAAAACCTGAGGCTGCAGATGCTGGCTTTTGCTCACTGCCCCCCTTAATATGACGAGATCACAACTGCACACCTGCTAGTTTCCCCACCCCCAACTCTTGCCCCCCAGGACAGCACATAATACTTATTTCATATTTAAACATTTAAGCCAGGGATCCCTGGGTGGCTCAGCGGTTTGGCACTTGCCTTTGGCCCAGGGCGCGAACCTGGAGTCCCAGGATCAAGTCTCGCATCGGGCTCCCTGCATGGAGCCTGCTTCTCCCCCCTGCCTGTGTCTCTGACTCTCTCTCTCTCTATGTCTATCATGAATAAATAAATAAAATCTTAAAAAAAAATTTAAGCCATGTCTTTTATTAGGCCAAACTATGTGAGATTACCAATATTCAGCCATTTTTAATCTATAAAAGCATCAGAGTGATATCAATCAACCTAATAGCTATAGAAAGAAGTCTTAAAGGGTGCCTAGGGGGCTCAGTTGGTTAAGCATCTGACTCTTGATCTCAGGGTCATGAGATAGAGCCTCCCATCTGGCTCTGTGCTTAGTGGGGAGTCTGCTAGAGTTTCTCTCCTTCTTACTCTGCCCCCCACCCAGTGCTCTTCTCACTCTTGATAGATAGATAGATAGATAGATAGATAGATAGATAGATAGATGATAGATAGATAAAGAAATATTAGAAACTCATGTACATTCACCCAGGATACAGAATGCTTTCTAAAAATCCAGAGAGAGGCAGAAAAGCAGAGGTCACCCCACTCATGAAAGCCAGGCTCATGGGGAAGCATGTTTGGGGTAAGGTTTGCAGAACTAAATGCCTGTAGGATCAGGCAGGTGCTATAGGGTAGTGAGCAGGGCCACTGCCTGGCCCTGCCTACTGCCTCCCATCCCCAGGAATGAGGGCCCCATGTCGCCAGCCTTCTGATGTTTCCAGACAAGACCAGAACCTATACATTTATGAGTAATCTGCCAATTTTTAAACATTGGTGACTAATTAAAACTCTCTTTACTGTGTAGGGAAAACAAAATAACAACAGAACTAAAGAGAACTAAGGTTCCTTCCATACTGGACCAGAGGCCCCGTACAAATATAAAAGATGCTACTTACAAGGAACTTGGGAGACAGAGGGTGGAGCCTGGACACCTAGGGTCCAGTAGACTCTTATCCTACTTTTGCACATATCTGAGCATTTCCAAAATAGAAATATTTTTAAAAAAAAAAACACGTTCCTGTTTGTGATTAAAAAATGATGCTTTTATTACCGTGAGTTTTTCAACAAAAGATGCTGCTATATTACGGTAGTGATAAATGATCAGCTGGGATGCTGCTTGCCATTTTATTTTTTTATTTTTAAAGATTTTATTTGTTCATGGGAGACACACAGAGAGTGAGAGAGAGAGGCAGAGACACAGGCAGAGGAGCCCCATGTGGGACTCGATCCCAGGACTCCAGGATTACAAACTGAGCCGAGGGCAGAAGCTTAACCGCTGAGCCACCTTGGTGTCCTGCTGCTTGCCGTTTTATTTTTTTATTTTTTTTTTAAATTTTTATTTATTTATGATAGTCACACACACAGAGAGAGAGAGAGAGAGAGAGAGAGAGAGAGAGGCAGAGACACAGGCAGATGGAGAAGCAGGCTCCATGCACCGGGAGCCCGACGTGGGATTCGATCCCGGTCCTCCAGGATCGCGCCCCGGGCCAAAGGCAGGCGCTAAACCGCTGCGCCACCCAGGGATCCCTGCTTGCCATTTTAAAGGCGCTTTCACACTGGCGCATTGATGCTTGATCCGAGAAAGAAGGGATTGGTAACCTCAGTTTTCAAATTAATAACACAGGCTCAAACACACACACCAACCCAATTCTAAAGACTGTGTAGAAGAAATCCTCAGCCAGTAGTTCTTTTGAGAGGAAAGAATTACAGGTGCCAGGTTTTCTCTCCAGGTGACCAAAGCCAGGGGCTCCTGCAAGGGCAGGGAGCCTCTAGCCTTCAAGTTGCTTGGCTCAGAGGTCTGAGACAAAGGGTTGTATTTTGCAAGGAGTCTCTGCTGGGTGAAGTTGTTACTAGAAATGGACACAGGCAGCCTTCCTGAAGCCCCCCATGAGACCTTCTGGATCTTTCTACTCACAGCAGGGGGTGTTAGTGAAGGTGGGGCAAGCACAGGCTGGCAAGGCAGAGGACCTTCAGCTATGTCCCCAGCCCGGCACTCTGATCAGGGAAAACACAGAACAGTGCCCAGGTGAGTCATCCTGCTTATCAGTATGGACTGCCTCCCTAGAGGACCATCTCAGCCTCTGGATGAACCCCACTGTGGTGTGAGCACAGCCTCACCACTACAGTGGTTCAGGCTTGGACTCTGGGGTCAGATGGCCTGGGTATGACTGCTCCATCACCCCCACCACTGCCTGGCAGGGGACCCTGGGCAGGCAGATAGCCCTTGGAGCTCTGGATTCTGGAAGTGCAGGTACAAGAGGTGACAGCACCTTCATGCCAGGTGAGCCCAGCAATGGCAGCTTCCACAATAGCATGTAGGGCTAGTGGAGGTCTGTAAAACCCCACACCAATTTAACTGGAGACTTTGTAAGAGATCAGATGCTTGGAAGATAAAGAGAAGTGAAATGTCTCAGAATGCCAGGAAAACACTCTGAATGAGAATCATACACTCAGCTCAGGAGACAAGGATGAGGTCCAAGAGATAGCCTCCCCTTACCACATGCAAACCAGAGGGCATAGAAGCAGGTCTGAGAGCCACAGACCATCTCCTCACGCAGTGCAGCTTCAGGGTGCACGTGCTAGGTGTGGGGTGTGTGCATGCGTATGTGTGCAAGTAGGTGTGGGTGTGTGTGCATGCGTGTACCTGCAGGTGTGGGGGTGTGCGTGCAGGCATGGGATATGTGCATGCAAGTGTAGGGTGTGTGTTTGCAAATGTGTGCATGTAGGTGTGGGGATGTGTGCATGCATGTACCTGCAGGTGTGCGTGTGTGTACATGTAGGTATAGGGCCTGTGCATGCGTGTGCATCCAGGTGTGGGGGTGGAGTACACACAGGTGTGTGTGTGCATGCAGGTGTGGGGTGTACGCATGCAGGTGTGGGGTGTGTGCATGTGTGTTCAGTTTTGCAGAGGGCCTGAGAGCCCACAGACAGAGTTCTCCTCGGTCGATTTGCCTCATAAAGAATTGAGTTGTCCCAATAGCTGGATAAGTGGTCCCTACTCGCTTGTTTTTGAATTCAGAAGGCATTTTCCCATAGGCTTACTCTAAGCACAATACATAAACTTCCTTGGCAGCCAACAAAAGCTCATTCAGTCTGAAGTAGTGTCAAGAGAGGCTGCATTTGCCATGAAACACTACAGCACTGGTAATGATTTACATTAAGGAAATGCCATTCCAGAATCTAGGAATAGCTGAACACAAGAATGATGAAGAGACAGGATTCTGGTAGAAATTGTAGAAAACTCAGTTAAAATCCCTTTTTTTAGTGTTCGGGGAGAGTTTGGTGCATTTTAAGTAGAAAATTTTAAACATTTGCAACAGAATGTGCATTACATGTAGCTGTCCTTTTCTTAGATGGAGCCATCTAAGAAATCAGGGGTCCTTCTGATGAGACAGAGACGAGGAGGATTTTTCAAGAGAAAATGAAGGAGACAGTGAAGTCTGGCCCAGGAGATGAGTGTCGCTGGGAGCAGAGAGCTATTTGTGAAGAACAATGGCTGGGTTTCCTGAGGGGCCAGTGGCAGCCACTGCTCAGGCACACTGCGCTCTCTTGTGCCAAGTCGGCCCTGGACGGAGAGAACTTTGTTTTGCTTGAGAACATAGCCCAAGTATCTGCTCCCCAGTACACTTTCTATAAACATTGAACACAGGAATGAATGAATGAACAACTGAGTGAACACTGACCTTCCCTGGACAGAAGCCCTGGGAGGTAGGCATGTTGTGGTCTCCATTTTCCAAAGCAGGAATTGGACACACA